GTCATCGAGCGCACGCCCTACACGTAGCAAGACTTCGGCCAGCTCGACCGAGTTCTCTCCAAGCTCCCAAGCCGCCCCCAAGCCGCTCCCAAGCCGCTCCCAAGTGAGGCGCAAGCCGGCGGAGGCTGAGGAGTTGCAGGAGATCATGAAGGCTTGCAGAAGGGATGTGTCTTCTCTCATCTGCTGTGCTGAAGCATTGCTGTCGATCTCTTTGCCGACGGTTCCATACTCCTTGTAATGCGAAGGTGCCGGAGATTCGGAAGGCCATCGCGCGGGCCATAGCTTCTCGTGGATCGAACGAAGGCCAGGAGACTGCTCAACTCAACTTTTGTAAGGCTTAAGGGCTGGGGATTTGGATTTGCCGTTTGGGTGAAGCGCGGTTCCGTTCGGGGTTCGGGCATTTGGTAGGTTAGGTGCTATGTCTACCTTGTCGTGATTGGACTCTTACTGCGTGCGGCATGTGCATGTGAACGACTCTGAGGCCATGCAGCAGAAAAACCAGCGGCAAGAGGCAATGCCAGTGTGAAGGGTTTGTCCTAGAGTAAACTTCGCAGCTTGTTACTCATTAACAGCTCCGACTGTTGATTTTCTCGTCGGATCGCATGCGGTGGAGCTGAGAGATGTGTTCAGCGCAACAGCACACTCTCTCGCTCTCTCTTCTTTTTCTGTGCCTCTCTCTCTCTCTCGCTGGCTCCGTCTGCCTCATGAATTCGTGGGATGAGGCAATGGCCCTGCTCTCCAAATTCAAGCAGGTCCCGCATGGGCATGGTGATGGGTTCAGGTCGCAAGCCATTGCAGGCAACGGCTTGTTTTCTCACTTAACATTGCTGGCAGATGCTGGCAGTTAGCTCTCGGCACCCCTCTCAAGGTTGCCCGGGACCAGCCCTAAGGCCCTAATGGGTCCTTCCTTCGCAGCACGCGAAACTGCTGCACCTCGGCAGAGGCAAAGCATGGACCAGACACTCCGGGAACGAAACTTTAAGACGGTAGGGGTCGACCCCTGAGTTTTTCGTCTCGCAGGAGTTGGAGCGAAGGCCTGCCAGCATTTGCGTGATCTCAGCCGGTCGCAGATCGGCTGAAACACGTGAGCATGTGTGCCAAGTTCGGTTTTGCTTGGGTCCAGGCACCAAGAGATCCTGTCCGAGCGTGCGCTTGGGCTGCAGTCAGGGGATTTGCACAGCGCGTTGGCAAGTAGAGGCTCAAGATTGCAGGTTGAGATGCTCCGTAGGTTGACCGGAGACATTCCGAGTAGAGATTCGAAAAACCCGATCTCGCAATAATTTAGGATCATGCAGGTTCACAACGATGTCTGGCTAGGGCAGCTTCCCCTCTTCTCTAGATCTGCTGAAGCCGCGCGGGGTGAGGCAGAATGAGGCAGAGCTTTGCAGAGCTTCGAGACTCATCTGAGGACCCACGGCTTCGCACTGAGCAGAAGCGCAGCGACGCCAAGGCCGGGGCATAGACGCTAGAATCAGGAGCAGCTAGAAGAAGCTCGGGGCCAGGGTACTCGATAATTCAAGCTTGATCTTGTGGACATGCTCTCCCGAGAGTAGCCCCAGATGAGGCTTGCATTCCTCACATGTCATCATGACGAAGTCTCGGCCAGTGCGTTCACGATCATCCGCAGAATCATTCACGCCTCCATGCTGCTCTGGCCATGGAAGGATCCGCGACTGCAGGACAAGAAGCGCTGCGCTGAGCTTCATGCTAAACAGTCTTGATGAATGTCTTGATGTCACGTATGGCACTACTGACACGACCGCATCTCGGGAGCTCGCAGCGTGGCCATCTGTAGCAAGCTGCATGAGCACGTGGTTAAGGTAACGCACGCAGCATGCAAGATGTACTCGAGGCCACAGGATCCACGGCAGGCTGCGGAGGCGCTTGACTCGTCTCTTGACGGTCTCGACATGTGGCCGGCTTTGGCTCCAGGGCAAAGGCCCCGTGCGGCCTGCGGATCCACGGCGCCAGGTGCGGCAAAAAGGTGAAAAAAACTCGCCTTCGATCTTGGGTGCCTGACAGGCTGATGCGGAGGCTTCCAAGGCGACCGCATCAGAACCAGCAAAGAAACGCGTCACTTGGTGAGATGAACGGCTCGCTAATCGACCAATTGCGAACAAACGGCACCGTTTAAGTCCAAGGTGAAAGTGGAGGGTGATGCCGACGTTACCACCGTCGTCAGTGATGATGAGGCGCGTGGGGCATCGGGGAGCCCTGACCCAACGGTGATGCTTGTGGGCTACGACATGCAGGTGGAAAAGATAGCGGACGACGAGGACATGCCACTGGTCCCAACCAGGCCTGGCCTGGTAATCACTGGTAGTCCACAGATACGCAGATACAGTAGCGCCTGCAAGATCGTGCAGTGCGAGCTTAGCCTTGGCGCACGGCAGGCAGTTTTTGCAGGGCATGCCCTCGCTGGGCTTCTCGGAGGTCCGCTTGCTGTGCAAATTTCAAGCAGTCGAAGTCGAAGACAGAATTTTTCCGAGCAAGGCATGCCAGGCTTCTGCAGTGGCTCAAAGGGGCAGCTCTAGATTCCCACAGCTTCTCTTCGATTCTGCTAGGCCTGGCTTCGGCAGTTCATGTCCCAGATGCCGAGGATGCTCGGCGAAGGCTTCAGTGTAGGATTCTAGATCCCAAAAAGCACTGAAAAATGGCCTTGCAGGCTTCCCAGTGGCGAGGGTAGCCTTTGGGCCAGAGCTGTATGACGTGGGTTATGTGAGGTTCACACAGGCCCTGAACTTGAAACCCTAGGGTCTGAAGGTTATACTCCTAGTGGTCTGGTTACTTGGCAAGGAGAAGGTGTGACGAGAGCAATATGAACCCGTAAGGCAGACAGGGAGGATGTGAAAAGACTGGGGTCCTGAGCGAACACCGCAGATTCTAATGCGCTTTCTGTATCAAAGGAACATCTTGTTCGCGCGGACTTCTTCAAAAAAACACGATATTGTAATAAGGGAGAACTAAACAAATACAGGTTATAGCTCAAAAAAGACGCAAAAACAGGCTCATGAAATGCAGCGCTCTCTTTGTTGATGGTTTTTGGTGCATTTTCCTAAGGAAAGGCGAGGCCAGGGAGCGGCGACGGCAGCCAGCAGAGAGCTCAGGGATGCGATGTTCAGCCTCGGGATGTTTAGGGGAAAAGGTCGCACGGGCTTAGTGTCTCTCAGGGCCTTTAGGGCCTTTAGGGGCCTGGAGGGCCTTTTGGGGCCTGTACAGAAGGGCCTGTAGGGCTTAGACACCTTCGCCTGTGAACGCCTTCAAAACCGTCAGGTCGGACGAAAAATCCTTGGCGCCGCTGGAGAGCAGATGGTCTACGTGGATGCCATGTCTCCGGGCAGCCCGTCGGCAATGCTTTGGGGTTTAGGGTTTCAGGTTTCGGGTTTAGGGTTTAGGGTTTAGGGTTACCTCAGAGTCGCCCCAAAAAAATCCTGGTGAGGGCCGCGGACCTGGGCCGCGGAGTCTGTTGCTCTCTTGGCCTTTTCGAGTACCGCCAGGTGAAATGCTGCTGCTGATGCAGTTTGTATTCATGCTGGAGGACTCATTTGCAAACTTGATGGGGGGGGGCTAAAGGGTTCGCTTAGCACCGCCTTTTTTTGGCTCACTTAGCAACGTGTCTTTTCTCGGGCCTGGGCAGCATGCCCTAAACCCATCTAAACCCTATATCAGCCCTATAAACCCTATAAACCCGCTATGAACCCTGATATAGACCCTACATGAACCCCATATAAACCCTATATAAACCCTACATAAACCCTAAGCTCGATGTTGCCAAGTGATAAGGAAACAGCGCTGCTAAGTGATCCTTCAACCCGCGCGGGGGGCGGGGGGGGGGGGTTCGTCGAAGCCATTTCCAAATACCAATACTACAAGACAATAAAAAAACGCGGAAAGATGACCACGATGTTTGCAGGGCCCCACGGAAGGGAGGCTTCTGCACATGGAGACATGCGTGGCGACGTGTCCATGGTGCTTGCAAGGGATGCTCTTGCACGTGGAGAGATAGGCCATAATGCCGCAAGGCCTCACGGAAACATCCCCCCCGGGAACCGACAGGAACGCTCCAAACAATCTGAGAAAATGGACACACTCAGAGCGAAAATACAAGTTTGATCATATTTTTTTGCAGTGGCGCCAAGACCCAAAAGAAAGTTCCAAAAACAAGGAGGCAAAGCAATGCTATTGGAGAACACCAGCCACAAACAAACTGAGAAACTTTAATAATCACTGACAACGAACGTGCAAATCCGGATCAACTTTTTGGGACAGCATACAGTGCCAACATGCAAGAGAAAGTGCCAAAAACAAGGAGGAAGCATATGCTATTGAACAAACACGAGCGACAAACAACCGAGAGAATTGGAAACATTGAGAGTGAACATGCAAAGCTGGATTCATTTGCAAAACCCGGCGGAGCATGCCTACGACTCTCAAACAGTAGCTAACACAAAATTGCTGTCTTGTATGTTGCTGAACTGAGAACGCGCACTTTGCAACGGGTGGGGGTTCTTTTTGGGTAAATTTTTTGGTTTTTTTTGGGTATTTTTTGGTTTTCTAAACCCTAAGCCCTAAGCCCTAAACCCTAAACCGTAAACCCTAAAACCCGAAAGCCCTTAAGCCCTAAAGCCCCAAAACCCTAAAACCCTAAAACCCGAAACCCTAACCCCTAACCCCTCAACCCTAAACCCTAAGCCCTAAGCCCAAAAACATACCCTAAACCCAAAAACATACCCTAAACCCAAAAACATACCTAAAACAAACCAAAAAAACACCCAAAAAAAACCTGGCTCCCTTTGCAACCAAGCATGATCTCAGATCTGCATGAAGACTCTATAGTGTGCCAGACAAATTGTGCAAAGTGGCTAATGGTAAACGAATGTTTAACATCCTTGTAGGGTAAAGTGTGCGTTCTGAGAAGTATACTGAGGGGTGTGAAGTGTGCGTTCTGCTTGTAAAGCGGCGTTGTGGTTGTAAAGTGTGGTAAACGCCTCCCCCGCCCCCACCCCGCGTTTGAGGTTTTTGGGGTGTCAGGGAGGGGTGCTGTAATTGAATAAGGGGAGGGTTCCTCACCACAACCATCCAACAACCCTAAAACCCTAAACCCTAAACTCAAAGCCCGAGTCGTCAGGAGAAGCTGCGGTCTACTGGCCGATCTGTGGACCTCGCACAGCGGGTCTCGCACAGCTTCAGTTCCCCGGCTTCGAGTCTGGGTATAACGGTACGTATAAGGGTACTTAGAGCGATGTTAGGGCAAGTACAGTTACAAGGGTTCATAAGCACCATGAACCTCCAAGTATGTTCATCTTTCTGTGGGGGCAGCTCCCCGCATCTAGACGAGACACTACGTTCTCTGATTGTAAGTACACCATGCAGCAGAGAACCTGGCCGGTTGCCACTTCGCCACTGCTTGCAGGCTATCTTCAGGTCGACCTGGCGGTTGACGCTTTCTGGCTGCAGGATGCTGGAATGTCCCGGATGGCTTGCGTCCCCAATCCCTGTAAAGTGAAAGTCGACAAGATATCCTCCATGCAGCTGATACGGAAGAAGCTTGCGCGAAACCTAAGCTTAGGTCGGCATGTGGACTGGAGGCTGCTCATTCAAAGTTCCACAAGTGGCCCAGGTGATGTTGAAGTGGGTCTTTGATGGGCTGCCCTTCCAGTGTGGCACGACAGGACGCTGCAAATACAGTCTAGAGCAGCAATCGGGTGAGTTCGCCCTCACAGCTCAGTCCGTGCTGGGAAAGCTGTCCCAGCTGCGAACAGGACTCCGCTTCTCCACCCGCGAGAAGCTGCGGCGGCAGAACGAAAGCCTCAAGAAAAGGAAAGAGCTCAGGCCCTGCGAGGGTATGCGAGAGCAATTAACATGATGCTAATGCGCACGAGCAGGATTGAAAGGGCGCTCATGGAACAACCTGAGAGCCCCGAGGCAGATGAACTCTGAAGCTAGAGGCTGGATGGACTCCATCCCGGACTGGGTCGGCAACCGCCACCGAGCTGAACTGCGAAGAACACACAGCAGTCACAGCAACCGGAAGTTGCGATAAGCCGATAGGCACAAGGTGTGTTGACGGTGTGCCGAACCTTCTTGCTGCTTTGATGAGCTCGGTAGTGGGCCATTGCAAACGTGCATCTTGTGAAGGGCTTTGGAGGTGCGCAGCGTGTGCCCCGAGGTGACCTTGTCGTGGGCCCTGCGCTCTTCCGGCTCGGGGGCGCCGAGGTCGGCAAGGCCGTCTCCAGAGCACCAAGAGCGATCCAAACTGTGCGCCCCACAACGCATGCAGCCTACTGGAAAATAGAAACCCCCCCCCCTCCCCCCCCCCCAAAAAAAAAGGGCCTTGATTTAGAACAGCCAGCAGCTTCCAAACAAATACCAATGGTCTGCGGACGGCTACCAAGTCCTCTTTCCTTCGAGCCGCGGCATACGTGGCAGAAGCAACAAGCACCTCAGACCAGCAAGCCGTGCAGCGTAGCATCCATGAAAGAACTTCGAGCCCAGTGAGTGCTACTACTGGGAAAAGGTAAAGGATAGCGTGCAGGAGGTTCATGGGCTGAACTACCAGCATCCCTAAAACCCTTGGTGCTCCAGCCTTTCGCCTTTCGTTCCAGGCCTCGGCTGTGGAGGCTCCGGTGATGGAGGAATTGCCCGAAGAGCGCTGGGAGGCAGCGGCAGCATCGGCAGCTGAGACTTCGTTGTTGCATGTCTCCTGCACCTTGGGGGGCAGGTGCCATGTGATGAGCGCAGATCTGCCCAGTGCTTGGTGCTAACTAGGGTTGCAAAGCACAAGACATGACATGTAGGTGCTGGCTGCGGGACCTCTCACACGCCAATACGCTGCGGTATGCATTCTGTGGGCAGTTGTGGACTAGGTTTGCCCCATCAGTGGAGAGCGCTTTGACAGGCTCGGGATGTCTGGTGAGAAAGTGTACCTAAGAATCGTTTCTGTCGGAAGTCCTACACTTCTGTGCAGGGCCTGGAGCAACGCACTGAACGACTGGGCGTTCGTGGGCGCTGTGGCGGCTGAGGCCAGCGCAGCGCGGCCGCTGAGGCCACATGGAGCAGTTCTCTTGGGGGTTGCTTGCATGATCTTGCATGCGATGTCCCTCTCCCGCAGCGCCCCTCAATGCCCGAAGCCGCTCGCGAAAGCTTCCACCGAGTTCGCACATAGTTCGCCATGTCCTCCGCCCCCCTGAGCCAAGCGGCCCGCCGCCGCATCCTAGCCGACCTCAAGACCCTCCAAGAAGAGCCCATCCCCCTGGCAGCAGCAGCGCCTTGCTCGGACGCCGACCTCAGCCTATGGAACGGCGTGATCGGCACGCAGATGGAGGTAACCCACCTGGGCTGCATCACGGTGCCCCTCCACTTCCTGATCGACTTTCCTTGTGACTATCCCCTGAGTGCGCCGAATATCGGCTTCTCCTTTGAATTCCAGTACCGGGGAGGGGCCTCCTATGTGCAACCGGACGGACGACTCAAGGGGAAACTCGTGATTTGCTTGGACGTGCTCGGCAACTTTGGCCACGTCCACACGGAGTGGAAGAGCACCGTAGGCAGCGGTTGGAGCCCCGCTTACACAGTCACGACACTGATGATTCAGCTGCAGTCCGTCCTCTGTGACCTGGGAACGCAGATGACCCAGCAGGAGCGAGACAAGACGTACCAGTCCGCAGTTCGCTTCTGTGAGAAGAATCCCAGGGCAGTCTTGCCGATCCTCGACGAGGACGAGATCTACGAACTGCGTCGAAAGCAACAGGTGCAGCAGCAGCTGCGTAGAATTTGCCGCGGGGATGATGCGCTAGTCGAGCGTGTCAGCAGCTTCGCTCGCAGGGCAGGCCTTGTTGAGCGGGAAGGGCAGCTGGACAGCTTTCTGGAGTTGCTGTCTGATGTGGCGTCCACAGCATCTGGCTCATGCTCTGCAAGCGAGACGGAATCTGCAGTGGCAAAAGTCGACAAGAACATCTGCTGCTGGAGCACTGGCAAGCTCTACACCGAGGCTTTGTTAGGTGTGGGCGTCAGCCGGGAGCGCAAGAATCTGGGGACAGCTGGTGAGCTGCTTTCCAAGGAGGCCTTCGACGGGGGTCTGCGCCAAAACACCAACAAGTCTCCGTTTGAGTTCTTCCTGCCAGTCTGGATCAATGAGGCGCATGCTGCAGGGAGCACGCAGTGGCGCGAAGAGCTAAGAAAGCAAGTCCTACAGATTGGCAGGAGCGTCTTCGAGGCTGGCAACGAGGATGCAGCAGCCATGGAGGTGTTTCCTCGGCTCATCAACCAGATGATCGTAGAGATGATGAGACCTGATGCAGACAAGAGTGCCGCGATTGCAACCTTCGAGGCTCTGTGCAACTTCTGGCGAACCTTTCGCTGGCTAGTGGACACCCGAGAAGGCCTCCGCAACAAGGTCGCCAACACCCTGACACGATTTGTGAAGGAGGAGTCCTTTCGGCACAAGGACCACTCGCCAGATCTGGGGGCACTGCTGGTTCTGTTCACGGTTATGCAGGGATACCCGGCCTGTCCGGCGAGGGATGACTTCATCAGCACGTATGCTGACGAGAACTCCCTCCGTTGGGTGATGTGGTGGCAGCGCTCCGGCACCCCACCCGACGGCGGAGCTGTGTTTCAGGCCACCAAGGTGTCCAGGGAGATCCTGATGTTTCAGATGGCAGTCGTGGACATTGTCATCGGAGATGTGGCCAAGACCCTCAGCGACATGGAGGAGACAAATTGCAAGCTTCCAGAGCGGTTGGAGCACCTGCAGGCAGAATGGCGCAAGCGCAAGGAGTCTGTGGGGGATTGGACCGCCTATTACAATTGCATTGGTGCTGCTAGACCAAGCTTTCCCAGCACGGGCGAGTGGATTGCCAGCTGTGTTCGCCGAGCGGCGGCGAAGGGCCCAAAGTATGGCTCCGGCGGCGGCAAAGGTGAGAAGGGCAAGGGGAAGGGCAAGGGGAAGGGGAAATTTTGAGGGCGGTTGCGACCGCCTGTGAAGGATGCATTGCGCAGGTGTGGCCAGCAGGTGTACAGTGTACAGAGATCTGGGCCCAACGGCCCGTGTTGTCACCCCTGCATTTTGCGACCTCATTCTTCAGTCCGACTTGGCTTTGTTCTGAAAGTGTGCGTCTTAACAGAGACAGCCCGAGCCGATGAGGTTTCCACCTGGTGGCACACTTGGCCGGGCCTCCAGCTTCGTGCTACACATGTTAGCTGCATCTCAGCCTGCAGCAGCCAGCTTTATCAGGCAACGCAAGCTCCTCGCATCTTGTCCCCCCTGTCAGCCAGTTACGAACTTACTTAGGCCCTCATGGACTCTCGGAGACAGCTGTGATTTTCAAGAAGCACGGGGCTCAACTGCCCCGAAAAGTTAAGTGCTGAGTGTGGGTGCGATTCAGCAAGTAGGCCACGGAGACTCACTGCTTTGCTGTTTGCTTGGCCAGCCGTGGCATGAAATGTGTGATTTTGCAGATCTTGCTTCTCCGACACCTCCTTGTCAAGGCCCGCAGAAATGGTTGGATGTTTGTGATAGGACCTGATACGATGTCCCGGCTTTCCGCGATTTACTGTGTTGTGATGATGCCAGCTGCAGCTTATACATGTCCACTTGAGTCAATGGAGTTCGGATCGTGCATGAGTTGATTCGTTCAACCATATCCTCATTCCTTTCGCTCCAACCTCAGTTCAAGTTCGTTCATCGAGGATCCTTTGAATCCCGAGCGAAGCGAACAAGTGAGCGAGATAAGCGAACAAGAGAATTCTATTTGTAACCGTTACTTCTTATGAAGGCCAACCGCCTGTCTAACCTTCCGGAATCTCCCTGTCATACCTTGAGATCCAACCTCTGTTTCCAAGCCGCTAAGAACCCACCCTCGGCAGTTACCTCCTCATAAACCCAGTCTAACTCCTGTAAACACCGCTCTCACCCAGTTCCTTCCAGCAGTTGCAAATGATTTCCTCTTCCAATATCCTGTCTCTAAGAGGGAGAAGTGCACCGAATGAAAGCCCGAACACCAGGAATGTACCTTCACTCCCTTCATCTTGTTCACAGATTCACCTCGCGGAGCAAGAATAGTCATCATGTGAGGGAGTGAGTGTACGAACGTGCGCATGATTTTCCGATTATTGCGTACGGCATTTGCGGCACGTGTGATATAGTTCTGTTTTGTGTGCCACTTTGTCTTCATTCTATTAAGGTTAAACAACCGAGCAAGGAGAGCGCAAAGAAGCGCTCATGACAAACAATCGAATGAAAGGTCTTTCAGTGGATTTCGAAGTTATGATTTGTAAGATAAGATCATATGTGACAAAAAATCCAAAGATCAATCTTGATACTGTTGGGATAGAAAAGATTCCTACTAACAAACGAGTTAAGAAGATAAAAAGACGTGAGATAACTGCCAAGAAGAGAATTATTATTGGAAATATAGTAAAAGAAAGATAAAGCGCAAGAAAACAAAGAAAAGAAAAGGCACAAATATTGTGTGAATCATGAGAAGATAGAAGTGGTCCTTTCACATTTTTCATTGTACTTGCACTTTTCTAAACTTCTAATTAAAAGAAATCAGAGAAAATGATCAACAAAGAGAAGGACAAAAGCTCCTTCAAAAACCCTTGACAGTTTTCAGAAGAAAGAGCACCTTAATTTCCTGGTCCGAGAACTCCTCGTGGCATCCAATCGTGCAAAACGTGAATAGAAGAATTCCAGAATTCCAAGTACGAATGAAATAAACGCGTGAGAAAGACAACGAAACATAATAATAGAACTCATGAAGATAGAACGTTTATGCATGGGTTTCAAAGGTAAACAGGATGGAGAAAAGCAACAGATCGAACATATACAAGGGAGAAGGATGATGCAGGTTGTACGGGATGGTGTGACGCACGGTGTCTGCATGCAGTGCAGGGTTTGCGCATGGGCTTTCTGGAGACTGCACGAGCGTTTGCTTTTTGGACAGGCGCTTGGAAGCTTTGCATGACTGTGGCCCGGATCTCGGCAGATGGCTAAGGCAAAGGCCCATGCTATTGAGCCCACATGAGTCCACGATGTTCATAGGCCTTCAGAATGGAGCTGCAATGGAACACGGGGAGAAGGAAGAGCCAAAAACAGACAACAACACGGGCCGACGCACCATGCGAGATATAGTGGATGTGCCGCCTCTAAAACCGAGAAACCCCATAGCTCTCAACATCCCCACCCCTTCCCCCCAAACCCCCCAAACACCCCAACCGCCCCAAACCCTAAACCCAAATCCTAAACACACCCCGAGGCGAGCCGGAGAAGCGAGCGCCACCGGGTGGCGGCCCTCCCCTGCCCGCAGCCGGGCCCCGAACAGTTTGGACCAAGAGTTTTTTTTGGCCTAGCTGGGTTAGAATGCATAGTATGTAATGTAACATACAAAGTAGCACATAGAGTGTGTACTAAGTAAGTAGGAAGTATGCAATATGTATTTTCTCTATATATATATATATATCTACCGACATGTACATATATATCACTGCATTTTTAGAACGTCATCTAACATAGTAAATGAATAATACAGTATATGTATAGTGTGTATGTCATACGATTATGAATGTATGAATGTATGAATGTATGAATGTATGAATGTATGAATGTATGAACGTATGAACGTATGAACGTATGAACGTATGAATGTATGAATGTATGAGTGTATGAATGTATGAATGTATGAATGTATGAATGTATGAATGTATGAATGTATGAATGTATGAATGTATGAATGTATGAATGTATGAATGTATGAATGTATGAATGTATGAATGTATGTCTGTATGAATGTATGCATGTATGCATGTATGCATGTATGCATGTATGAATGTATGAATGTATGAATGTATGAATGTATGAGTCTATGAGTGTATGAATGTATGAATGTATGAATGTATGAATGTATGAATGTATGAATGTATGAATGTATGTTTGTATGAGTGTGTGAGTGTATGAATGTATTACTGTATGAATGTATGAATGTATGAATGTATGAACGTATGAATGTATGAATGTATGAATGTATGAATGTATGAATGTATGAATGTATGAATGTATGAATGTATGAATGTATGAATGTATGCATGTATGCATGTATGCATGTATGCATGTATGTGTGCATGTATGTGTGCATGTATGTATGTATGTATGTATGTATGTATGTATGTATGTATGTATGTATGTATGTATGTATGTATGTATGTATGAGTGTATGTATGAGTGTATGTATGAGTGTGTATGTATGAGTGTATGTATGAGTGTATTTCATGAGTGTATGTATGAGGGTATGTATCAGGGTATGTAGGTATGTAGGTATGTAGGTATGTAGGCATGTAGGCATGTAGGCATGTAGGTATGTAGGTATGTAGGTATGTAGGTATGTAGGTATGTGGGTATGTATGTGAGTATGTGAGTATGTGGGTATGTAGATGTGTGTTTGTGTACATATTAATTTGCAACATGACCTCCCCCCCCTCCCCCACTCCTTTCCCCCCTCCCCTTCCTCCCCTCCTCCCTTCTCCGTCCCTCTCCCCCTCCCTCTCTCTCCCCCTCACCCTCGAAGCAAACCCTTGCATTAGTGCTGAGGTCACGGTCAGCACGGCGCCGAAGGAGGCTGGAGGGTGTACCTGGATGGTCTCAAGGGTTAAATCGGGTTTGGCTTTGAGGATCTCAAATTCAGTTTGCGGGGCCGTTTGGGTTTAGGGCATGTGCAGTGCAGGATTCAGAGCTTTCCCTGCTCACGCGGTCATCGGTCGGGCCCTCACCTTCCAAGGAGCAGGAGCCGAAACCCAAAATCCTAGGCCTAGGCCAGGAATCGAAGTTCCGTCATTGCCACACTCGCCTCGTGCTGTGCAACGCCCACATAGTCGGAGAAGAAGAGCGTCTCGTCAGAGCCTGAGGCCCGGAAGTTTTTCTGAACGCCTGGACGCCACGTGCAAACATCTGAGCCTGTAGCCTTTAGCCTGTTGATTGTCCCGAATTCACCCCCAAATCCACTACACACTGCCCAAAGTTCCTTGGCACAGTCACTAGGCCAGTGAGCCCCTAATGACCTGCCTGGAGCCGCGCAAGGAAAAGGTTGTCAGTGCTACCACCTATGAAATCTGGCTGCTGCAGTTTTGCGACTGGTAAGGAGCAGCGCATCCTCCGCTGCTGCAAGGGTGTGGAGTCAGGCACATCGACGTCGCTGTGCTCGAGTATTAGTGGAGTTGGTGCATTTTCAATTTTCAGTTTTGGCGACCAGCCGAGCCGTGCAGCAACAATGTCGCAGCCACAGATTTCCCTGACATACTTCAACATCGAGGCGGCCGCTGAGAAAGTTCGCCTCGCGCTGGTCATGACCGGCACCGAATTTGAGGACAAGCGTGTGACCTTTGAGGAGTGGGGGGCCCTGAAGCCCAGCACGCCCTATGGCCAGTTGCCTCTGATGACCGTCACAAACCCTGATGGCACAGTGAAGAGCTTTGCCCAGAGTGTGGCGATGATGCGATGGGTGGCCCGCAAGTTTGACACCACGGACACGCTGTATCCGGCTGATGCTGATAAGATGTTGGAGATCGAGGAGGTCATTGGCTTGTCTGATGACATGGCGAAGGCATGGCAGCCGTCCTTGTACATGGGAATGGGCCGTCATGCTCAGTACGGACACCCACAGGAATGGCCCGAAGCAAAGGAAACGGTAAAGAAAATGCGTGAGACTTTCATCGCAGAGGGGCTGCCGCGCTTCATGGATTTCTTCTCGAAGAAGCTTGAGGCCACCGGAGCATTCTTCTGTGGAGACAAGCCCACCATTGCAGACCTCCAGATCTTGGCCCAGCTGCGTTATTTCACCAAAGGTGTCGCCGATCACGTCCCCGCGGACTGTTTGACACCTTATCCAGTGGTGACCAGCTGGATGGACAGGATGCATGCCATCCCGCAGATTAAGGCCTGGTACAAGCTGTGACGTGCTCATTCTTGGTTGACTGAGGGATGATGTTGCTTTTGGCTCAGCCCCGCTGTTGCTTCGGTGAGCTTGCGCTGGAGCGGACGGTCTGAGCATGTAGGTACACACCCAACTTAGCCGTGCAGGCAAAGTGCCCAAAAATGAGCCACGCTACGCATCTCATGTGTCCGAGCGTAGAAGAGCAGTGTCATGTGAGTCGTGTCGGTTTCCATGCACGGAAATGTCTCGTGGCATGAGGGCTCAGAGCCACTGGGTCTGGCGAACACCGGGGCATCCGGGTCCCACCATGATCCTCACAGCACCCTGGTCGCACCTGCTAGTTGCAGCTGGTCGCTGTGCTGCGTTGCCTTGTGTAGTGAATGCATCTTTGCAGCGCTCTGCCTGAAATCTCGGTGGCCTGAAGTGCTGACCTGAGTGGCCTCCTTCTCTCCTCACTATCAAACTCGTGCGCTAGCTCAGGAGGAGGTGGCAAAGTTGTTCAGCGGCTTACAAAAGGCCTGGTTGCTAGAATGCCAGAGTCTGTCAGCTTCTCTTGTGGTCCCATGGCAGTTCCCGGATGCCTATGCTTGAAGCCTGCTCGCAACGCGAGGCTTTGCGCGATGCAGAGGCCGACCTCAAGGACATGGGTTGTGCGCAAGTGCTTGGAAGCCGCTGCAAGAACACAGGAGGAAAAGTCTCGTTGTCAATTTGGTCGGCTCGTGTGTTTGTACTCAAGTGCACCTGGACCAAAGAGGTCAACTTGTGTGGCAAGACATTGCGTGGCGCACGATTCAACGCCAGGACCTAGCAAGCTCCCAGCAGACGAAGCTGGATCAGGCAAAATCTGAGGCGGCATGTGGGCCGGGATCGTCCTTACCCTGTAGACGATTTTTTAATGCTAAGAGGGTAGATGGCAGGAAGAAGTGATACAACGGTGCTCCACCCATCAGCATCATGGTCCACGGTTAACCATGTCCATTGGCCATTGGCTCTCGGCCATCAGTTTGGCCTTCCAAGACTATTTTCACCGGGCCTTTGTGTGATGGGGTGTGCAGTTCATAGCAGTTCATGTGTCAGAAGGTGGTTTTAGAACCCTGAAGACCGCTGAGACGGGAATTATCTGAGCAGCATCTAGAAGTTCAGCTTATATGATTCTCAGCCTCGCCGCTACGTGCACCTTGCCACCCTGAAATGGAGTTCCTCGAATGCTGGCTAATTACTTGCTTTGGGGAAATCGGGTCTTTGCAGAGTTGCACTCGTTATGTTCATGGCGTGATGGCATGATGGCAAGGCTGAAGAATCCCGCGACGAGGCGGACAGACAGCGGAGCAAATTGGAGGAGACCATGCACCCTTTTCTTCATTCGACGCACGGTCAAAGCTGATACTTGTAGTAGGATCATGTACTACTTCCCAAGCCTTATGATGTGGAACGTGGCAAATGATGACCGTCCCGGCTGATGCTTTCATGTGGTTTGACATCAACATCCTTCTCTGGGCCACCTTATTCGAAGACATCATACGTCACAAGTTATCCGGTCAAACTTCAAACCCTTAACTATGGTGGGCATCACCATGAATCAACACACAACTCCCTCCCCTTTGCCCACCAGCAACCAGGATGTCCGTGACGAAGCTCGTAAGGCTCGCCAGGCGAGAGGTCCGTCTGTTGGGGGCCGACTTAGTACAGTAGCTTACCATAGCTGGTGGATGGTAATAGTACGTAGTAATGGTCAGTAATGGTCGTTCTACCCCCGAAGAGTCATCACAATTCCAACAATACAAAAAGAAATCGTGGCGATCATACATCGTAAGAATGGTTGTCGTCGTCAGAAAGCGCAATCGCAATGGAGGGTTATTGTCTCATGCAGTGACAGGCGCAGCTTGACGTGGAGGACAGGCGAAGGGCTGCTTTCGCCAGCATCAAGCAGCGAACGAGTCAAAATGATGTCGTTTGCAACGCTGCCTCCACCAAGTTACACTTGAGTCAAGGAGAAGCTGGAACAGCAGGTCGAGAAGTTTAACAAGAAACGTGACCAGGCAGATCACCAGTTCTCTGACAAGGTCATAACGTTTTTTTTTTTGGTTTTTTTTTTCTCACTTTTTGCTTAGGTGGATTGGTCAGGATTCCCGAGGCCTCAGCCCTGCTGCACCCTCCTGATCATACCATGCAGAACCGCAAGCTCATGGAGCACATCCGGGAGCTGGAGTCCGAGATTGACACGCTGCAGGGCCAGCTGGAGGACGACAGCAGGGATGCACCCCCAAATTCCCCAAACCCCCCGACAACACCCCCCCGCCCCCCCCAAAGCCTTCCAAGCAACACAACATCTACTCAAAAACCTCTGAGCTTGGGTGAATCAACTCTCCTAGATGCCCCTAAGTCTCCTAAAGCCTGAGGAGGCAAGGCTCGGGCCAAAGAAGAGCCCAGAGAACGAGGCCACTGTGGGGTTCTCTTCGATTTCTCTAATTTGCTGGCTTCTGTGACTTGATCTCTTTTCAGGTTATAGGAAAAGCACACCATGACCTCGTTGTACAAGTACGTTGTGCTGTAGATTTGGCTGATTACTGGCGTTTGATAGAAAGAGTTGGAGACGTGTGAAGGGAAGGTTGCAGCTTGCTTCAGGCAGGGTCATGAGACTCAACTTGGCCGACATGGGCAACAAGTGCTCAGTTCTGAACGAACGTTAATGTTTGATGGTCGTCAAGGAATCTCCACTGCGGCGGAAGAAATCGCGGGCCGGAACCATAACTGTTTCTAGCACTGCTGCAGTCTGTTCTGATTAGCAGCCCCATTTTCCTGGAAGCCAATCGCTGCAAGTTCCTCGGATCCGGCCGGAGATCCCAAGGCGAAGCGGAGTGAAGGGGAGCCAGAGCTGGTTGACCTGGAGGCAGCGCGCAGCCAGGATGGCTCGCTGTTCAAGCTTGGAGTGGAGGGTCATGGGGCCATCTCGTGTGTGATGTAGGCCGAAGAGGAGGGCGGCAAGGAGGCGCACCCATCAGCCAAGTCCTCTGATTCTCGAGCATGCTGCGCACGGTTCTTGTCTACATGTCGCTACGTTGTTCCGTGGGTTTCGAAGGCCTGTCTGACCCTAGATTGGCCTAGAAGAAGGGGTCCATGCACCGTGTTCCAGTCAGTTTCAAAGCGTTGCAATAGCGCCCGGCCAAAGCACTTCCAGTCCCAACCTGGAAGGACAACGACAAGGACAACGACGACGATGAGCAGTCCGAGGCGGACAGGGCGTGGCAAGAATGCCTAGCAAATCACTTGCAGGATTTCCAATGAACTTGCATTGTTCCCACACCTCAAAGACTCACACGTGACTCAGTGCAGGGCAAGGACCGTTCTCGCGAGCGCGAGCGCGAGCGCCGAAAGCCCGTGCCCGAGCGCCTGAAGTTCTAAAGTCCAAACTCTCAGGGAATGGTTGCTGCTCAGCTTCTCCGAGGTCCGTGAGTCGAAGTCGGGAAGGCAACCGCGACCGCAGTCGCGGTGGCAATCGGGATCGAAGCCGGGACGGCAACAGAGAGGCACGGCTGCTTAGCTCTTGGGCCAGATGGGCACATGAATGCTAGCAAAGAATAACGTATAGCAACGGAGAGCACGTGATATACGTCTTTCACGAACTCCAGGTTCACATCCCGAGCCCCAAGCCCTGAATATCGGACAGTTCCCAGCAGTCATTGTTCGCAAGTTCTGATGCCTCTAAAGGTATTTGGCTCTAAGGCTCCTGGCTTTCAAGATTTTCGACACATGTTGCACACGCTACCGATCCAGGCTGTTTCAGCCAGGAGTGTTGTAGCTTCACAGAGAGTGAGGTGCCGGGCCAAACTAGAATGGCGAAGAAATATCGGACTTTTGGAAGCCGGTGTCTGGTTTGGAGCTGTCACCTTGAGGCAGCTCGCTCAAGGGAGCCGCGGCGGCGGCCTTGCACTCGGGACATGTGAGCTGCAGGCTCTAATACAGGCTGTACTCTGCGATGCTCCTGGGATGAGAAGATGCGACTCTTTTGCCTGATGCACTCAGTTCCCCGAGCCGCGACAAGCGCGACCGCAGCCCGCAGGAGGGTCTCAAGAGTACATCATCCTTTGCACTGCTATCCAGGGCTTTGCCAGTAGGTCTGTGAACTGTTTGGCTTTGTTGGGCTTGCAAAGTGCTTGCCCCACTGCACGGTCTCGAGGAGAACCGTGACAAGGATGCCCGCAGGCGGTCGTGGCCTTGACAAGACACGTGTCGAACACATGTCGACACCACACGCAAGATCACGCAAGTGGGGGTCCCTTGAGTTCATATCGCCTCTCCGAAGGTCGTCGCGAAGCCGCGAGAAGCGAGTGGCCTTCCCAGAAACTGATATGTGTAAACCATTAACGTAAATGCAGCCCAACGAAGCCAAATAAAACCATTGAAAATCCCTGAAAGCTCGACGAATTTGATGCCATGTCAATGGCCATTGGGGAGCAATTCGGATCAGCGAGGCCGACCGTTCGCGCGAGCCCCGGCGACGGCCGGGCACCTCAGGGCTGCGCTTTGAGATGAAAGTTTTCCAGAATGTGCCTCGAATTTCTTATGTAGTCAGATCAACTGTTCGCATCTATCTGAGTGGCAAATGTGCTGAAAGATGTTGACAGATGCTGAAATTGAAATGATCCTTGCCCAGATCCTCGCACAGTCGCGATGTCAAGCGAGACCGTAGCCAGAAGGCCAGCCCGTCTACAACCAGGGCGTGCAGTGACAGAGCGCTGTATAGGAGAAGTTCATATGGTGTTCATGGTCAGGGCGAGAAACTTTTCGTTATGAAGCGCTGGGAGAGCAAGTGCCCAGAGCTCTACAGATCCTGGTTTAATCTCCAGGGCCTCCAGGCCCCCGTCTACGAATTGAAAGTTGCTGAAATGGATTTCTGGGTAGTAGAGAAGAACTTCACAAGTCAAAGATGTTCAATGATTCAGCAACTGGGGGGTGCCAAGTTTTGTAAGTTTTGGAGGCGGCTCTGGGCATGTGTGGAGGCTTCGAGTGGCATCACAAGGTCGTGGATCAAGTTCTGAATTTGGGCCCGGTCGTGACGGAAACATGTTCGGGAGCGTTGGACATCTAAGCACAAGCCCCAAGTTGTACCGAGCAACTCGACTTCCTGACCCAGACGCGTCCTTCTCGGACTGTATTTGCGCCGTCCTTTCGAACTTTCTGCAACTTTTTTTATGGCAGTGAATGAGTTGGCTCGGATGTTTTTTTCTTCGTCTCTTAGACTGTCTTGGGGTTAGAGGTAGGGGATGTTTTTGGCCTTCGGAGTAGACATGGAAGGCATTGCATTAAGGGAAGGTGGTCCCAACAAGATCCGACGAGAGGGAGCCTCTGAATGCCAGGATCGTTCCAGGGAGCCTCGCCGGCGGCGGGATGCTCGGGGGAATGGAGAAGTTTAGGGCCATCTTGGCAAAACATGAATGCAATGAGGTAAACTAAACTAAGTAAAATGCATGAAAAAATGTATACGTATACGTATATGTGTATATATATATATATCTGCATATTGCTATTAGTATGCAACTATCGAGAATAATGTGAGCATATAGGGTGCTTCTAGAGCAATGCTTGCTGACTTGCGCCTCCGTTTCTGCACGCTGCGCAGTTCGTCTCACAGCCGCGATGGAAAGCGTGAGCGCAGCCCACAGGCCTGGCTGTTGCAATAGGCTGGAGAGGTGTGTCTGGAGGTCACATGCCGAGAAGTCAATGAGAATGGACACTTGATTTTTTGTTGACTTGGCCATGTTGAGGCTTATGATGGTGAAGTGAGCCTGAAGCCATGCTAAGCCTTAAGACCCTTTCGCTGCTTCGCTCCGACACTGTGGGCCACAGGCGGAACGGTCGAGAGAACCTCGCCGGAGGCAGACATGTGCTTCGGGGTTCTGATCCAATGTCTTCCTTACAAGGTTGAGACCTCCTGAAAAAGGCTCTTTGAACAGGCGATTCTGCTTTTTGCACGCTAGTATACTGGGTCCTACTGGGATGCTGTCAAGACCTGCGGGCTCCTAAACCTTGAGCAACCGAAGCCAAAGGCAATGTTCAACGTAGCAGCCAAGTGCTGAAGGTTGAGTCGGTGCGCCTGATTTCATGTTAGGATTGCTGCAAGAAGCTGTCTAGTGGCTTTCCGCGTGTGCTGCGAAGCTTAGTCGGTGCGCAACATGACGCGAACATCCTGGTGTAGCCCTGCAGAGCAGTCGGCAAACAGTCCTCGTATATACAGGCTTTCCAGCTCTCCGTGTAGGAGGGGACCGTTGCTTCCTGCTTGACAATAATAACCCAACAGCCTAAACCTTACAGCCTAAACCCTACACCCTAAGCCCTAAGCCCCAAGCCCTGAGCCCTAAACCCGCCGTCTTGGAAACGCCTCCCTTGACAGATCTTCCCATAGCCGTGATGCCAAGCGCGATCGAAGCCGAGAGGAGCTGAAGCTGCTTGTGGTGATTATATGATTGGCTGCACCCAAACCCCAGAAGGGTTTAGGGTTTTGGGTTTTGGGTTTAGGGTGTAGGTAGGGTTTAGGGGGAGGTTCCTCTTCTATTTTGGACACCCAAAACATTGCCTGCGGTGCTGTGTGAAGCCAGGACGACCGCGAGCGGTATGACAGGTTGGGAGCCCATGGTGTCGGGCTGGGGTTGTAGGTGATTGTGTTGCACGAGGCTTCAGGTCTTAGAAATACATGTTACGTGTTATATATACATGTACACACTATGTACTATGTACCATATATGATATGTTCTGCATCATATGCGAAGGCTGTTCAGATTTTCCAAGACTTGCTCCTCAACGCTGACCGGCAGAGACAGGCTTAACCAACCGAACCTGTCATGATTTCTGAGGTCACGGTCGCGAGGCTACAGAAGGCAAGGGAGCTCGCTGCTCGCGGAACCGTCGTCGTTTCAGTTTTTTTGAGTTAAAGCAGGGCGGTGTCATGTAAGCGTGGCAAGTACATCGGTGTATCAGGGCTCATGTTCAGAAAACATCCGTGGACCCTGGGGAGATTCTGAGATGTGCAGGCGAAGCCGCAGCCGCGACATGGGCCGAGGCGAGGATCCCTAGGAGACTCTTGTAACAGAGAGGCGCAAGGTCCAACAGATGGCCCATTTGGCTTCGGAATGTCATTTCAGCCTGTGATGTTCCCGAGGTAAAGGTGGAGGCAAGAGCGGAGGCCTCGGTTCGTACATGGTTGTGCCCTGGCATGCCTCCAACCACGTCAAAGGACATTGTGTCACTTTCTTTGCTATGCTGGCTGGATGAGGCATTCCCAATTTGTGCTTCCTTTACGCATCTTGGCTTCAGCTTTGGTACAGCTGAAACATGCTGAAACATGCGCACAGTTTAGGGGGGGAGCTTGATCATCATTCTGAGAAAGCGTGTCTCTCATGTGCGAAACAGACGTAGAGCCGTTGCTGATCCAAGGTTATTGACAAGTGCCGCAAAGGCCCCTGTGCACATCAGGGTGCCGTACAATAGTTCAGGGCACTAGCAGAAGGCAAACGACTGTCTGTGCCTGCTGCACACCAATGTCGCAACATATGCGCGGCTCCTGCCTCCCGTAGCTGTAGGAGTATGTCTGAACAAGCTCTGCTGTGTCCAGGTGACCGATGTGAAGCAAGGCACCCCGACGACCGTGAGGTGCGCATGCTTCGCGAGAGGCCTGCAGCGCAAGAGCCTTGCAAGACTCTGTGGACAGCTTTGCAGTGCAACTGGAGCTGTCTAGCGTGCACGGACGCTGGTCAGGATGGAAAACACCCCATGCAAGTTTGGGGTGGACTGCACCCGTAAGGACCGCTTCTGTGCCGAACAAAGATTTTGGAGCGTTCCCTGCTTGAGCTCGGTCGGTCTGCAGTGGGCACTTCAGAGATGGGGTTGAGCACCCTAGAGATACTCTGCAGGATTCTCTGCAGGAACAGAGACCTATCTCTTGAGAAGCCCACAGAGTATCCCTGGGCAACCGCAATGTTGCTTGCAGATGCTCTGGCACTCGCCTGCCAGGACTGCGTCTTCAAGCATCCTGAAGGTTACAGAAAGGCGGGCCCGGTGCATCCTTCGCACGTCAGGACCTCCTCTAACCCTAAGCCTGAAGCCTGAACCACAGTCTCTGGAGGGGGCACACGTGTAGTGTGCACTGGCACGAGCATCCAGAGGAAGAACGTAGCAGAGAACTGTATTTCGTAAGGCGCTAGATGGAGGCCAGCAATACGGCCTTTATGCATCAGCAGCACAATGAGCCCAAGCACAACAACCCTCAGCATCCGTAAACTTTAAGTGCCGAAACTTAGATGTAAATCTCCTCATGCACTCAGCCTGGCGGTGGCAGCGGCGGCGACCGTGACAGAAAAGAACGAGGCACGACCGTGGAAGCACTAAAGCTAGCACACGCACACACACACACACAGGGGCACGCACATGTGCATATCCAAATGCATATACGTATGTATGTATGCATGCATGTATGTATGTATGCATGCATGCATGTATGTATGTCTGTATGTATGTAGGGGTAGGTAGGTAGGTAGGTAGGTAGGTAGGTAGGTATGTAGGTATGTATGTATGTATGTATGTGTGTAGGTAGGTAGGTAGGTAGGTAGGTAGGTATGGATGTATGGATGTACGGATGTATGGATGTATGTATGTATGTATGGATGTATTGGATGTATGGATGTATGGATGTATGGATGTATGGATGTATGGATGTATGGATGTATGGATGTATGGATGTATGGATGTACGGATGTATGTGGGCATACGTATACATGTCCATATGTATATATGTGCATACCTAGACATGTAGGCATTTATGCATCGACGTATCTATGCATCTATGTATATATGTGTATCTCTGTGTATCGTATATGTGTTTATGTGTGTGCAAACAAAGTCAAGAGGAACGTGCCGAGTTGCTTTTTTTCTACAGATGAGCCGGTATCTCTGAAAGAGGTGCTTCTAAACTCTTAGCAACCTCTTAAACCTGGCTGTGACGTCTGTGAGGTCGGAGCAGCAGCTAGGGACCCGAGAACCAGGCGCGGGCTTTCCATGCTCGGCTCTCTGCGCTTGATATTCGAACAAGACTCTCCCAATTTGTGTCAACATATCTTCAGCCCTTGCTTTTTCGAGCAGGTGAGGAGCGGCCTCCCTGAGGATCTCTAGAGGTCTGAGTAGCTGCCGCCTAGCTCCAGAACGCATACATACCTCAGTTGCTGGTTGCTGCAATGGCCCCTTAAAGTCAAAGCCCTTTCGCACGCAAGCGAAGCGGCTCGGTCCAAATATCTGCGCGCGAGCGCTTTGTAGCCAGCGGTAGCTTGAAATTCATAGCATAATTCTGTACCGCGACCAGGCCCAGGCAGTTCAGATTTAACGTTGTGGGCAGAACATCGCGAGCGAAGAACATTGGTAGCTCAGCAGGAAGCAGCCAGACTGTGCGCAAATGTGCCCCAAGCTAAAGCATTTAAAAATCGTGTCTCGGATGATGCCAGATACTGCTAGCCATGAGAAGGTGCGCTCTGGGACGAAAGTTTGCGAGGAGTTGTGCTGACGTCTAGTTACTAATTACTAGCTTCTTCTGGGCAGACTGGCCGACCCACTGACCGCTTGAAGTGCAAACTGTCCCAGCACGCAAAGAGGCATATACAACTGAGTGGAGCAAGCTCTTTCGTCCGCCATGCGAGCCCGGAGAAAATGTTGGCCTGTAGAGCAGTGATGCAGCTGTCGTCAAGCTGCTTGGAAGCTCCGTGATGCAATTTGGGTTGCACAACTTGATTTGCAGGGCCTCTGGAATTCTGAGTCCGTCTCGGAGAAATGCAGGCTCCTTCTCTCGGCCCATGACAACGCAGAATCCGAGAGCATGTGTTCGAGCTTTGCAGCAGCTTCAGCTTCGGCTGAACTTTCTGAAGCAAGCGCTCGATGACATCAGATGCCTTTGAACAGCCACGTCCTTGCCATGGAAACGATCTGCGGTATGGTTTTGGCTTCAGCTTAGCAGTGACACTGTCGACCCAAATCAGACGAAACCATGGATGTTGCAAACTACCCCCAGCACATCGATGGTGGAGCCGCAACATTGAGGTGCCACGTTATTAACCCTGCCATACCCTGCCGCCAGCAGGACAGCCACATGCCGTATAGCTGAAAGCGGGCAAGTTGGTGCAAGCGAAAGCGAAACAGAAGGCATCAGAAAGACCCAACTCAAAGCAGACGTGACGGCATCTGCCAGCCTTTGCCGTGCCATGTTCCAGTTCCAGACCGGCACGCATGCGGCGGTACACACTGCAGCACCAGCTGTTGCTTGGATTGAATGCTCTCGCATGCCAAAAACTCGAGAAGATTATGTAGGCATTGACCGGGTCTGCACGATTTTCACCATGGCTCGTCTCAAAGCTGCCATGTCAGCGAGCCATTGCGGGCCTTGATCTGCAGGTTTGGCACAGCCCTCCTGTGCCTCCTCCCGCTCGTGGTGCGTCCTGGCAGCATCATACCACGCTACCCAACGAGAAGCCCAGAAGCTTCACAGGCCAGTTCAGTCCTTACCAAGGTGGTCGCCTCTCTGCCGGCGGTGCGCTTTGGTGAGGCTTCGCCACCTGCCTCAGCGCGGCCACACGGCTCAGCACATGTGAGAGCACGTCGAGCAGTTCGAGTGCCTTTGGCACACACTGCCATGTGTCTGCAGCTGCATCTGAGGCTGCTGACATCAACACCTCCCCCGACCTCTGCGCGAAGTTCCGGAGCCTAAATGCAATTGGACAGATACTTGTATCTCAACTCCCGTCAAGATGGGGCAGAGTAACCTTAGCAGCTAGGTCAGTTACCAGTAACACCTTTTGTGACACAGGAAAGAAAACTTTAGAACTAGGCTGAGGTACACTGCCCTTCAAGCCAGGAAGTTTCGACATGGGCCCCGAAGGTTTCTAACTTCGAAGCTTCAAGATTGCTTTGAGGACACAAGTGCAGTGCTCACAAGAGTCAAAAAACCTCTCTGAACCGTGAGAAGAAGCCCACTTTTGGTGTGGTGGCAATGAGGGCAGCCATGTGGGCAGCGGGATCAAATTTGTTTCGACAGATGAGGTTTCAATGTTCGCAGCGTGCCCGCTGGCCTGCAACTCGCTGCTTGACTGCCAGAAAACTTGCGGTTCAGGGATGCGTTTTCACGTTCGGAGTCCAGTAGACAACCAACTAGCCGCAACAAGAGTATCAGCAAACCTCCGATACCTTCCATTAAGTAGTCTGTATCCATGTGCATGTCTTTTCTTTTCCAAGTGTGCTGGATGCCCCGCACTCGGTCAATCGGGTTTAGGGTTTACAGGGTTGCTCCCACCCCCTTCCCTCCCCCAAATCCTCCGCTTCACAGTCTTCACTCACAGCCCAAGGGCCCCAAAAATGGGGTTGATTCCTTTTGGGTACCATTGTGCATTTTGGGCCCTGGATGCTTGGTTTGGGGGCGGGGGAAGAGGGGTCTCTTGAGGGGAGGTCTTGCTGATGTCAGCCCCTAAGAAGAAACTAAGGAAGAGCGGCAGCCATCTGTTCAACCCCTTTCTTCCTTCATGGGCAGTTCAAACCACCGTACGAAAACATGGGCAGAAATAACTGAAAGTAGTCGCAACTGAGCCAAGATGATTGCAGAAAACAACGAATGCTAAACCCTAAACCCAAACCCTGAACCCTGATCTCCAGGTTAGCCTGGTTTGCTTGGGGTTTTAAGGGTTTAAACCTTTAGGGCCTTTAGGGCCTCCAGGACGTCTAGGGCCTCTAGGGCCTGTAGGGCCTTCCTGGGCCTTCAGGGCCTTTAGGGCCTTTAGGGTCTTTAGGGTACTTTGGTACTGCAGGGTTTTTCGGGCCAAGCCTGTGGATTTCATGAACCACTGTCTCTTGAAACAGAGCTCGCGCTGGAGTCGCGTTATAGATGCAAAGCACCAATCAAAGCAATACACACAGAGCAAACATCAGCAGTGAAGCCTATTCGCAACACGAAGAAGCTGCTTGATCCTCCTCAGGCCCAGCCAGCCTGGCTGCACACCCACTCGGAGCCGGCGAAATCGGCGGGTTTCGACGCACGGGTGCTGCGGCCTGCAGCATCTGCTGGCCAGCCCATGCCTGTGGTGCAGCGAGTGGCCACTTGGCTCAACTTCCAAGAGGAAACCTGGCGATATGCATTAGGGAAGATGTCATGTGGTGAGTGCAGGACGGTTGGATATCATGCAGGCACTTGCAGGCTTGGACATGGAGCTCGGATGTCGTCCCTGTTAAGGTCATAGCTCCGACAGAGCGTGCTGTGGCCCGGAGCCAACCAGTAAGTCGCCCGAAGGACAGTGGTTTGCTTGCCAGGGCCGAAGCGCACATCCTGGATCGAGGAAATGTCGTGTGTTGCTTGTGCCATCTCACCAGGATGCTGAAGCTGCTTCCCCCGGCAGCAGCGAGATCAGAGCAACTCCGCTTTATGTTGCTGTTGAGGCCTTGTTGCCACGCGAATGAGACTCTTGAGAAACCGAATGAAGCACTTTACGAGACGTCATCACGCATATCTGCTCTGAGCTCCGAGGTACAGACCCCATGCGCGCCGGACGGCTCGCCGGGTTCCAAGGCAACGAGCGATGAAGAGCAGTAAGAAACGCACGCTTCTGCACACATGCACGCAGCTCTAATTTTGGGCCAAGCATCGGTGTATCACGAACCGAAGACTGTAGCTCGACCTTGGGCCAAAAAATCGGGGAAGCGCGCAACTGTGGGAGGCCTCAGCTCCAGCCCAATCGCCAATCTCGTCTCCGCAGGCGTCAACTAGGGCCCCGAGCTCGGTGGACACATCTGCCACATGGACTTCACAACGCTTGTAAAACTAGCCCGTTAGCCTGATGAGCCTGAGCATACGACACGCGCTTTCCATTGTCAGGCAGTGGCGCCAGGGTCACCCAGCTCTCCACACTCCTCACAGCTGGGTAGGGCTGGGGCCTCAGCTCTGTTTTTGAGGATGGGGGGGGGGGGGGGGGGGGAGTTGGGGGTGGGGGGAGGGGGGGAAGACATGGATATTGAATGATATTGACACATGAACCAGCGAGGCCGTTCTTGCACCGCCTTCACCCAGGCAGGTGAACGAGTGTGTCGGGCCCTGAGCGGTTCTTTGGCAGCCCTGAAGCAGCCCCGCAGTCCAGGACGTGTCAGATGTGCACTGCCCGATTATGCCTACTGTACCAGCAGGAAGCTGAATGCCCCAAAGTGTATGGTGTGATGTGTAATGTAAGAAGAAAGCCAAGACAAAGCATAAGCACATCAAAGCATCATGTCTTAGGCCCCTTAGGCCAAGATGGAATAGCCTGCCCCAGGAGCTGGAGCTGCGACTGTCCCAGGTGGCGGCAGCCCTTCTCCCGCCACGATCTCAATTGAACCCGTTAGGGTTGAGGGTTTAGGGTTTAGGGTTTAGGGTTTAGGGTTTAGGGTTTAGCGCCTTTCCCAAATGGGTGTTGAAATTCCGGGTCCGGGGTGGGAACGTCTGTACTAGTGCAGTTCTTGCGGTGGACGGCGTGCTTGCTGCAGAGGCGGCTCTTCGGCCCGCTCACTGCATCCCGATCAATACATACCCACCCCGCGCCGTTCATTAGGCGGCAACCACCCAAACCTACACCTTTAGGGTTTAGGGCTTAAACTTCAAAAATATGTGAACATCATAGTCGAACAGTCGTGCCTGCAACCGGGGCGCATTTTCAGGCAAATGGAGTAAAGAAAAAGACGAGAATCATAGAAAAATAGTTTATAAGGCGGAGTCATAATGATGATGTCCAAAGTGCATAATGTTCGTACACTCGATACCGGAGAACGTGATGAGGACAGAGGGTCTGTGTCGACATGATGCTCTTCATGATTTCATTTGGGCTCCTCGCATCGGTTCCTTATTTCAGTTGCTTAAAGTCCGGGCTGAGGGCTTCTAGTTGAAAAGGCTGGGGTTGTCCTTCTTCGGCATGTCACCTGGGTTTAGGGTTTCGGGTTTGGGGTTTGGAGTTTGGGGTTTGGGGTTCGGGGTTTTAGGGTTTCAGGTAAAAGCTTTTCGCGGATTGCGCATTGCACGGATGAGGCCAGTGGCACACATTGCCGATCGGAATGGTGCTGGCACGGGTGGTTTAGCCCTGAGGGAAGGCACCATGGCAGCAACTGCTTGCCGATACGCTTCACGTGTCTGCTTCTGAGTCATCTGCTTTGTGCCAGTACAATATCACTGAAGTGGAGCAACGTTGAGCAGCCGCCAGCTACGGTAAGCCAGATAAGCGCTGCATGTCCTTTACGTTTGTGTTCCAGAAGGTACAGCGGAATCCCTGCCGCCAGCACCAGAGGAAGCTCACACCTCGACGTGGCAATTGGGGTGTTGCGAGCAATGTCCGCGATGTCCGCTTCAAACCTGACGTTTGTGCCTGACGTTTGTGGGCCTCGGCATCTCAGAAGCAGTGCACTTCAGTGCAGTCAGGTCCCTCCCTGGAAATCCTGCCAGATCGCTTCGTGTGGGGCTCAGCTTTGCATGTTGCAGCCTTGAGGCTCTCTGCCAGGAAAGGCATGAAGAGCCACCTCTTACCTCTTCCTCAGAACGACATCTCCTCATTGCTGATGCTGGACAACCCCCCAGAGGGCGACATTGCTGAATTCGATCAGAATGCCTTTATGATATACTATGCCAGCCTAGGCCCATCCAGCTCGATGTGGCGATGAGCAACCAGGCACACAGCAGTAGGTGAGGTACAAGGACTGCAAGGGTGGACTGCCACCTGTGGCCGGCAGGAGATTGGCTGGACCCCGTCTTGAGCTCGGACGAGATGCCTTTGGGCACGCTCGAGTGTCTACACTTTGGCTGTTGAATGGCTTATTGCTTGTTCCGCATCCGAAGGGGAGTCGACTCGACAAGCAAAGTGAGGAGTGCAGTCAAAGCTTTGGACTGGGCCCTGAGGTCATTCACAACCTTGGCACATCTCAGGCCGAAAGCTTTGGTAACATGAAAGTCCAAGCAGCCCTTAATTTCCCTAGATCCTTAACTCGAAACGCCAACATGCAATGCGGGGAGGCCCGAGGATGCCACTGCTCAATCGAGCATGGAGGCCCTGCTTCTGTTGAGATGCTGGCACAATGCACACTTGTTCAATCTTCTCCCGTTGCGTGACTCTCCATGACTCTCCGGTCGTGTTTCGGTCCGCGGGGTCGGGCTGCAAGTATGGAAAACGATCGCGGGTCGAGGAAAGCGACGCCGGAGAAGGCTGTGCTTGTCTTTGGTGCACTTGTCGTTTGTGCGTGTGTGCTTGTTGCCAGGTGAAGCCTGGGTAGGTCTTGGGGCGGTCTTGGGGGTGCCCAGGGGAGTTCCAAGAACGGTTGGGTGCAGGTCCTCCAAGCATCCTTTACGTAGAGAGTGTGGGAAGGAGACCAGATCAGGTCTGCATGTTCCAGATGCCGGCCAGAGGGCGAGGTGAATTTTCTTGGCTGAGGAGATTGACCCGACAGCAGAAGGATATCCAAACGCTGACCGTTTAAGTTCACATTTACAGTGTGTCGGTTTGGGCTCGAGATTGTTGGTCTCATATGTGGATCGCGGCACATGGCTCGTGATAGAGCACATGCAGAACCGCGGGAAACTGCACGAGTGGTCACCACCGGCAACAACGCAATGCGAGGTTTGATAGCTTCGAGGGCTTTCCACAAGAATCGTAAGGCACGGGCAGGAAGCAGGCACAGCCGTTTCGCCGTAGTGTGTGATTCGGATTATGGTGCCAGCGCAACATGATCTTCTCTTGCCAAGTGGCTGCCTAGCCGCACTCCAGGCAGGTTGGCAAGGCCTGTTCAAAGCCTTTAGATTCGCTTGGCCCACAGTGAAGAATTTAAAACTGATTTGTGCCGTCTGGCTAATTCCCTGAGTGACAACAGCAGGAGGGATCATTTGCGATCTGCAGCATCCGCAGCACCGTAATAGGATAGAACTGACAGAACGTGCATTCGGACGGATGTTTTGGAATCCCCTTCGCACTTAATTAGGAAATGCCTGGTGAAGCCACCGTGGACGCATGGACCGTCGAAGCTTGGCAAATGAGCTTTTGTTGAACTTCTTGGCCATAAGTAATATGGAGGTTTACGAAACTAGGGGTACCTTATTGGGGTCCTTATTATACTATTTGGGGGATTATAATTGGAAACTCCCATATATCCCTCCCACGATTGAGGCTGGGCTGAAGGCCTGCGAGCTTGCTCCAGGCTCGTCAAAGCTTGCTGTCTTGCTTCATGCCTAGCTGAGTGGAGGTTCTGCCAGGGATTGGACAAACCAAGCCAAGGATGCACGTTTCCTGGATTTGTTTTTGCTCGCTGGGTCTTGCCAAAGAATCTTGCGTGCAGATCTGCCACCAGACAGCTGCTCCCTCGCCACCACCTGTGACGGCTCCTCGCCGGTTGCTGTGCCAGAGGCGAGCGCCAGCATTGACACGAATGCTCCTCTGCGCACTTGGCCCTGTCGGAAACACGTCAGTCTGTTGACATGCTGCTTGACGTCGGTATGCTACAGGCAGCGGTGGCAGCAGGCAGCCAGTACCGCAGGCACCATCCGGAGTTTGACTTATTGGAGCGTGTGAAAGCCCAGGACAGACGTCCATTCTAAAGCTGGGCGATAGTGCTGGATCCACCACTCACAGTCAAATCAGTCGAACTCGGCCGAGGGACCTGCTGCTCAGCTTCCGGTCCCTGCTGCCGGTGCAGCCTGCCGGCTGCACGCTACCATGCCTGGTGCCGGCAGAGGTGGTTTGGGAGGTCCGAGCTTCAAACCAGCGCCCTAAAATGCCTCCCCTCGGTTTCATACGTCCGTAAACAGTAAACCCTACTAGTAAACCCTAAACCCTTAGAAGCCCTAAACCCTAAACCTCAATCAACGCCAGCCTTGGCGGCGAGTCCCGCGACGGCGCGGTCGAAGAGCGGAACCGAGGCGCTCGTGCCAAGGATTGTGCACCTGTAAGGCTAAGGTGCGTAGTGCGAGACCCGGTTATATTATATATATATATATATGTATATATATATATGTATATATATATGTATATATATATTTTGTTTAATATTAATATTAAAATGTATATATATATATGGTTTTAGTCTATTGTACGATGAATCTTTGAAAATCAATCATAATCGGCTAAAATCGGCCATTAGTCTATCAGACTCGATTGCCCTAGGTATGTATGCGTTCTGGAGCTAGGCGGCAGCTACTCAGACCTCTAGAGATCCTCAGGGAGGCCGCTCCTCACCTGCTCGAAAAAGCAGGGGCTGAAGATATGTTGACACAAACTGAGAGAGTCTTGTTCGAATATCAAGCACAGAGAGCCCAAGCCCTTAGGCCCCTAAACCTCAAGCCCCTCCTTGGGAAGTCGAGCATGGAAAGCCCGCGCCTGGTTCTCGGGTCCCTAGCTGCTGCTTCGACCTTACAGACGTCACAGCCAGGTTCAAGAGGTTGCTTAGAGTTTAGAAGCACCTCTTTCAGAGATACCGGCTCATCTGTAGAAAAAAAGCAACTCAGCACGTTCCTCTTGACTTTGTTTGCACACACATAAACACACATACGATACACAGAGATCTGCGGAAACACCTTTGCCGGAAGCATCCGGAAACCATGACTCGTCAACTTCTGTTCCGAGCCTAAGTCATCCCAACCCACCTCTGAAGGTTGCCAGAGGGAGAGGAGCCTGTGGCGGATGAGGTCGGGGCTTGACTTAGGGTGTACCGAGCTGTTGCTACAGACATCTCTTTGCCTGCAGACCCTATGTTGTTATGCTCACATGCGACAGATGACGCAGGCACCACAGACTCCTGAAGTGACCGGCACGGAGGCCTGGGGCTGCACTAGCTGCCTGAACTCAAAAAGGTCTGCAGGTCTTGGGAGTCTTGGCTGTGTACCCACAAAGCTTGCACGGAACTCTGCAGGTGCCTCCTGATCTTCCAGCACAGCCTGCACCGGCTGCTGAGGACGCAGAGCTGCGAGTGGGTCAAGTTGCTCCGAAGCTCGAAGCCTCAAGCCCCAGCGGCGTACACCCAGAATCCAGCTGCAAGTACGAAGCCTTAAACACTCAACCGCCCTGAAGTAAGAAGCATCGCAGACACTCTCAAAACCCCAGCAAACCTCCCGGAGCCTTCAGCAATACAAACCACCGCGATGCTCCAATACTCGAAAAACTCATGCCGTAAACCCTAAACCCTAAACCCTAAACCCTAAACCCTAAACCCTAAACCCTAAACCCTAAACCCTAAACCCTAAACCCTAAACCCTAAACCCTAAACCCTAAACCCTAAACCCTAAACCCTAAAACCCTAACCCTAAACCCCGAACCCTTAACCCTACAATAAACCCTAAACCCCCCTAAACCCTAAACCCTAAACCCTAAAAACCCTAAACCCTAACTAAACCCTAAACCCTAACTAAACCCTAAACCCTAAACTCTAAACCCTAAACCCTAAACCCTAAACCCTAAACCCTAAACCCTAAACCTTAAACCCTAAACCCTAAAATGGGCCCCCGTTTTTGGGAGGTCCACTTCCATGCCGCTTCGGTGCGCTCCAAAGGCCGCCGGCCGCAGCCCGCCGCCCGGGCGGCCGTGGCCCCAAAGCGCCGTTAGAATAGCAAAAACGGGTGGTCCTTTTGTCTTCTTTGTCGATCTTTTGGTCCTGTGGGGGTGGGCTGAAATTACTAATTTCAATGAAGGTATGGATATATTTTCAAGTAATAATTTTGGTTGAGAGCACTTTGTATGTGAAATTTATCGATATATGGAAAGACTAAATCTTAAACAATGTTACTCTAATTTGCTTGACATTTGTTACAATAACAAATATGCTTGCAAAACATCACCAATTTACCCAACAAATTGTGATATCATGTTTTATTGCATCAGTTTATAATGATTTAATATTAATATCATCAAAACAAGAAAATGCTACTACCATTTCAGATTTATTGGACCAACATTTCCATGCCAAAATATTGTCCAAGGTACAACACAGTTATCATATGCCTATGATTATAATATACCAGCTGATAATGAATTGATGAGTTTCCTGGGGGCTAACTCCAAGCTTGCAAGTGTCTACGGGCTTTGGGTCCTGGGCAAGGCTTCATCTGCTTCCCATGAAGTTGCAGACCGGTGCTCCAAGGTTTGCACTTCCCATGCCAGGGCATGGCCCTGTGTCCGGAGAGCTCCACAACCAGAGCCGCTAGAGTGAGATTTTGGCTCCACTTGCGGAGCCGCTTAGGGTGATAGGTGCATGATCAGAAACGGAGAGCTGATGCTCAAAGGGGTGTCGGCTGCAGTTTCATCAGATCCGACAGGTCCATTGCCATAGGCTCGTACAAGATCGCCCCAAGCACGGACTAACAACTTCAGGCACATGTCCAAAGCTGACACATGGCATTTGGGCATCATCTGCTCTTTTGTTGCTTGGCTGTGTAACGGCCACGCAGCCCATTCCCCTATAGTCGGTTGCCTAAGGTCCCTGACCCTGGTTTTTAACCATTCGGCTCAGCACGTGTGCTGCCCCGAGATTGGTCAGGTGGCACCGGGTACTGTACAAAGTCACAAAATTGTTTAGGCAGTGTCCTGCATGATGGATGTGTGACATCACGGCCTTAAATGCGAAATCGGGAAACCGAATTATGTTGTGCTGTAGCAATCAGAATGCTTTGGATCAGCCTCGGATTCTCACACCTCCATCTCGGCAGTTTCTGTTGGCAAGGGAGTTCCCTTCGCTCCTGATTCGCATGCCTGTTGAGATAGTCCACGTTGCCTTTGCAGACAAAGGCCACTGTTCCAGGTTGTTCCATTCTTACAAGCATCGTTCGGTAGCATGGTCGCAGCGCGCAAACTTTAAATCTTGCGCGCTTCGCCAGTTGCATGATCGATTCTTGCCGGCTCCTCTTCGCAGGTCGACACGGAAGACAGCCAAGACTCACCACAGGCAGATCAAGGGCTCGTGACTGACCTCCGCATGCTTCCTCCACTGAACTAGGGTTTGTGTGATCTTTTTATCGACACGATTAGACACCTTGTTGTAATAGGATTCTGTATGAGTATGCCTGGCAGCCTCGTCAGCATGCACATTGTCGCTTGGTCAGAGTTCTCACAAGGATCTGCGCAGCAATCTTGTCGCCCGTTTGTGCAGTCGGTAGTGCCTGCCTCTGTTTACCCATGGAAACTTCTGTTGCGCTCGGCGATCCTTCCATGCTTTTGACAGGAGAAGCCTAGCCGCGTCTCCATGGTCCGGGGCCCGAAAAAGATTGAATCCAATCCCAGCCCTGAATCCCAAACGCCGATAGGAACCACTACTTCGTGGCATTGAGGAGTTCTGTGTGTTTCCCGCGATGTTCGAATCAATTCCCGTGGAAAAGCTCTCAGAGTAGGGGGTTCGTTCTTGAAATTTGTTGTCTTAGTTGGGTCTTCTCTCTCCAGGTTCATGATTTCTATGGTTCCGGGTTAGCTTCAGGCCTGGGGCTCCATACTAGACTCTTAAATCCCCAAGTCTTTCAGCAGCTAGAGTCTACTAGAGTTCGACGGGAATTCACTTCATCCCTGGCCTACACTGCTTTGGGAGAATTCTTGCCGACGGTTGCCGGATGAGGTGAGGCGTTCATTGTGCCGGAGATAAGTGCCCAGATCATCAGCACTGGTCCTTCTGCTCCCCACACGAGCTGTCTGGTTGTGGTTGTGACGGGAGCACATGCTCCGCAAAGGCCCCGACGGTTCATGATGCACACTGCAAAGAGTCGGATGAGAGTGAGGCTCGCTTCGCTGCCCGAGTGAACCCGTAGGACGTGGGCTGTGGTTGAAGCAGTGCTACTGGTAGGGTAAGAGGTTCATGAGGTGAATTCCGGCAAAGTGGTGCTCTCGCAATTCTTTAGATGGGCTCAGGAGGCTTAATGAGCGCACCGTTTGGCTGTTTGCACCGTTTGGCTGTTTGCAGCGCCATGCACAGGTGATCGGCTCGCCCCAGTCGGGAGAGGCGGCTTCCGCTGTCTGAAAACCTCAATCCCCAAACCGTCATAATCCTCATGCCCTCAACCATGCTAAACCCCAACTTCTGGGCCAGTTTCATTCAACTCAATGCTGCCGTAGGGAAGCCAGGCTCCCTGGGTCGAGTACTCCGAGCCGAGGCAGGGCCCGTTTACAGCATAGTTCCTGGCAGAGTTCGCAGGCTTATCTCTGGATATTGGATTGTCGGCTGTGATGCTCCGTGTTCTCTCGCATCCCTTGTTTGTTGACTTCTGAACAGCATGCGGAAATGGCAATCCTTTTGTTGAGTACGTGCTGCACCTACAAGCCAAATCGCAGGCAGGAGGTCGACCAACCCTCCGAAAACGCCGTAGCCCAAGAGATGCGAGCACCCACGCCGTTCCGGTCGATGGGACGTGCTCCGGCAGTTTGACCAAGCTGGTCGCATGAAGCGCCATTTCATACGCAGATGGCGAATTGCAAGAAACCGGAAGGCAAAAAAGGCGCAAAGGGGGGTAAGGGAGTTCGGGGGTAAGGGGCCACTGAGGGCTCTGATGCTGGCACTGTCAGCTCCTGCGGGGACAGTCTGCCATTCAGGTCGAGATGGTCGAGGTAAATGTCGAGGCGGCCGAGGAGCCAGAGGAGCTTCCACGCCGCCCAGCACAAATAGCAGATGCCATGCTCTACATGTAGTTTTTGCGGGATCTTGTGAGGAGTAGGGTGGCTACACCCTAACCCTAAACCCTAAACCCCAAACCCCAAACCCCAAACCCCCAACCCAAACCCCAAACCCCAAACCCCAAACCCCAAACCCTAAACCTTAAACCCCAAACCCTAAGTTTTGGGTTTAAGGTTTTAGGGTTTTAGGGCTCCTAGGGCTCCTCAGGCCTCCGGGCCGAGCTGGACGAGCTGCGTGATGCTCTGGCAAGGGAGCGGGCCCTGCGTGATGAGGCGGAGGCTGGCGAAGAGCCATGTGGGGGTTTACGAAAAGAAGGGACCCCTACAATAGACCCCCAAATAGTACTGTAGGATTCCAATAGACCCCCCAATAGTACTGTAGGAATCCCCAAAAACTACGGACTGCGATAAGGTACCCCTAACTTCGGGAACCCCCATGTGGGCCAAGAACACACGGAGCAAAGGAGATGGCGTGCATACTCCTAGGTACACATGAAAGTGTGACATACATCGACTTCGTTTCTGATGTGTGCGCAGCAGCAGAGCTGCTGCTTCTCGAGGTTTCCCAAGCTAACGAGACATTGCCAGACGGTGCGATCGTGTACGATCCGACTTATATCCGACCATCTTCCATTCCTGCTCTTCAGGCTGCTCAAAGTCGACTTTCAAAGAAGCTGAGCAGCGCGGAGGACTGAATCGAACATGTCGACTGCTTCGGCCAAGCACGCAAATACAGAACGGTGTAAGCTGGGCAAGCTGTTGGAAACCCTTGCGTGTGCAGGCTCATACCTGGCTCGTCTCTGATAGCAGTTGCAGCAAGATTATTTACATCTGTCGACATTCTGACGGCGTAACATTGAAAATCGTTGACCGTGTCTGCTTTGTCAGGGACGCGCCTCGCAGCTAGCCACACAGCTCCAGCGCTGCAAGGTGCCGATGTGTGACGTGTGACATGAGGGATGGAGCGTTTTCCACTCGCATAGACCGCTTGAGTGACGTTGCAAACGAAAGAAGCAGTTTCGCAGGTTGAGCGAGATGAACTTCGGCGTCAGCTGCACGAGAAGTCTGAGATCCACGTGGATCCTTGGCATGGGGAGTATCTGTCGAACTACTTGACTGTTCGCAGTTGCAAGTGTTGTGGAAGCGCCGATTGCGGCAGCCAGCTCTTGAAGTAGTCCTGTGCATGTGTTGGCGAGGAGCTCACACGGAAGTTGCGCAAAGCGCAGGAGGTGAGCCCTGTTGCAATGCAGGTTTGATGTAGATCACGGCAGCTGCTGTCATGTGATGTTCTTGTACTCGGCCCGTTAGAGCTGGGTTGATCTTGATGGGAGGCCAATAAGACCCTGGATGGTGAGCTCAACAAAGCAGAGGCCGCTTCTTGCGGGAAGAGCCAATGCAAAAGTGCAATTGAAGACAGATGAAGACAGACAGGGATGACAGGAATGTGACCCATGCGGCATACGCTTTTCATTCCCAGTTGTCGCCTCGAACCATGACTCTGACTTCTAGCCAGTCAGGCTCTTCGCCTTGCGGCGCAGAACCGTGCTGTGGCAGCTCGCGAGGCACGAGGCCAAGTGGAGGCCAGCGGGGAGGCTCAGGCTGTGGAGGCCGCGGAGGCTGCGGGCTTGAGGTTGTGCTCGCGGAAGTGCGCAAGCGGGAAGGATGACGGAGCATGGATCAGATGAAAGCTCCAACACGAGACGACTGGGAGCTTTTTTACGAGTTCCGTGTCCGACCGAATCTGTGCATCAGGCAGGACCTTTTCATTCCGGTTACGAGCTGGCCAGGCGCTGCTTGATTCTCTACGGGATCAGCTTCGAGACGTTGAAGAGGCCTTTGTATGACAATCAGAGTATTTCAATACAACAACGAGCGTACGCCCATGTACCGGTTGAGTGTGCGCTCCACGCCTCCGTAGGAGCTTGCGGGAGATGTTTGAGTCTTGTTTTAGGACAAATAGCATTCGTCGCTGGTATATGTCAGGGATTTAAAGTGTCACGGGAAGGGGGCGGGGGGGGGGGTGTTTCTCGACTCGAGGAGGGCCCCCCGGCCCCCCTTTTGGAACCCACCCCCCACTTGGACCATTTTTGGGATCTTCAACAACTTATGCTGACATACGCCACACGAAACACAGATGCTCTTGTGCATGCGACGCTGTTTTTGGGTCTTCAACTTATGCTGACATATAAAGCGCCGCCTCCGCCTCCGCCTCCTCCTCCTCCTACTGCTACGTTAGAATCGTGGAGGGAGTATCCTGTCAGGCTGACAGTGCTGAAGTTGCAGTGAGCTTCTTGAAGATCAAGGCGCTGCTTCGCCCTCAGCCTGACAAGTAGACGGCTGGCCGAAGCCGTTTTCCAGCCCAAGGGGCCGTACTTTTTTTGGTTGTGACGGCATCAGATGGAACGAACTCCGAGGCTGGAAGGCTTTGCTTTGGAGCCGCAACTTCCAGCTCCCAACAGCCAAGGGCTCAAGGATCCAGAGCCGGAGGACCGACGCAACAGGGGAGATTGCAGACTCCCCGCCTGATAAAGATGCTTGCTGATGTAAGTAGTTGCAGGAAGAGCTTCCCACTGCTGGCGGCCTGCTCCGTGAGTGGGCCTCCGTCTATGAGAATACAGAGGCCAGAGAACGACCGTCGGACCTGCAGGTGCCAGGGAGCGGACTTTCGTGTGTTCGCAAAGCATTCGCAAGAGGAGCATGGGCTCGATGATTTCATGGCTTCCTCTTGCAGGGCGTGTGCAGTGTAGATGGGGTTTGGCTTTTCATGCTTTTCATGGGACCTCCCGACACGCTTTGCGGAAACCATGGAAACCTCGCCTGCGTATTTGGCAATAAGCGGCTGTGGGTCCCCTTTCAGAGGTGATCATTAATCAAGTCCCTCGCGAGGCTGGTCGAGATGCAGCAGGTCCTGTGCTTCTGCAGCACAGGCCTTCGAAGGGCCAAACAGGGATATGTTAATGTTGATAACTTTTCCACGTATGACACGATTCGGGAGTTCGCGGGTCGGTTCAAGATCTCGGTCTACTCTTAGTCATCTGACGATTGTAGGAAACGGAACATAAGCTATGCTCCAAAAGGTTGAGAGTGATAAAACCATTTCAGCCCGGCGCAAGGAGCCCAGGCTGGAACAAGGCCAACAAGCAGCGTGAGGTGGGTCTGCCAAGAAGCACTGCTTTCCCAAGCCCGAGATGCCCCCTAATCCACACACCACCCCAAGACTGCACCTTGAAGGCACCCACCTCGCCGCCCAGCGCGCGGGGCGCTGGCGAGCAGCTGGCGCAGCTCTCGCTGCGTCGAACGGCGGCAGTCAGGGGATCACTTGAACATTTGAGTCAATCTTGCGTGTCGCAGGAGGGCATCTCGCCCCATGCATGGACTCGCAATGCTTAGAAGAATGAGGGATGGTGACAAGCTCTAGCGGTGCGCGAGATTTTAAGATACGTTGGGCAAAGAGCCATCATGATTCTGAGGCTGGGCACATGGCTGGCCGGTGAATTGTAGCTGAGTAGTTGCTGTAGGTGTAGAGTAGAGCCTGTGGCACGCGCGGGCGTCCCATTGCCGCCTTCGCAGGTTGAAGCAGCGCAAATGCAGACTAGATACAGTACCTTATGCAGGACTTTTCGGGTTTGCATGTACCTCTTCTCAACTGGATGAGCAGGTGATCTTTCCGAGATCAAAGCATTGAAGAAGCCGCCGCCGCCCATCCGGATGCTGATGGAGGTCTCGTCGTCGGTTCGGCGAACTTTTCATAACAAACGCCATTTGTGAAATCGCAGTGAGCTCTCCTTCGTTGAAAGTCAGCATTTGCAGCGTCCAGCTGGTCTATGGAGCCCCTGGACCCAAAGCGGAGGTGTGCTGCTTGCTGTTCCACATACAACCTGTCAAGCACTTGGACGAGCAATGCGTGCCTCTGCAGCACCAGAGTGCCTTTTTTGTGCGTGCGATCTCTTCCAAATCCACAGCTCGCAGGAGCTCCCTGAGAGCTCCTGAAGTTTATCCTCAGGGCATCTCAGGGCCTCAGGCCTTGGGCTCTTAGGAGTCCTTGTGTGCTCAGGTCCACCATCGTTTGCGGACCGACTACTGGGAGCCCGCAGGTTCCTTAGTGTCTGCCCAGGGGGCTTCTGAAGTTCTTGCCACTGGCACTTGTCAGAGTACAGTAGCGCTTGGTGCCCAGGCTCGGCGATACTTGCTGTCGGACCCGTTCCTCCTTTCAAAGCTCCGGTCGCATGGCAAGGCCGGCGTGAACCAACCGTTCATGCTTTGTACCTGCAAGGGGGAGAAGGGGGGCGGACTTGACACGGCATGCCAAAAAGAGAACCTTCTTGCAGGACGTGGGAGCGTCTCAACGGGCCAAGATCAAGAAATACTTCAAGGCCACACCGTCTTTACTGGCACATCTCTCCTGTCATTTCGAGAATCGAGCAGCTTTCCTCAGAATGCTCTCCAGCTGTCACTGGCACCTTCTTGTCGCTGTTCGTGCTTTCAGAATTAGATGAATCCCAGGATCCGGAGTTCAGCGCAGAGCGAATGCTGAAGTGCTCCCGAGCCAGAAGCCAAGTTGAATGCAGTCTGTTGCGGCGTGTTGCTGGGTTCCGTGGATGGCCGCAGTGAACTCAGGCCGCCTTTGAACTGTACAACTGTGTCCCTTGATTGCAAAATTAGTGCCCTTGATCCTGGACGAAGTCATCATGCTTCATGGATCAGAGGGTACTTACTTTTATTCGCAGCTTGCTCTGACCAAAGGGATCACTTGCCTCATCCTGGCAAGGTTTCGCGCCTGATGGAGATTGAAGAGTGCCCCGGCAGTGTCGAATCTCATACGAGGGAGCCTTTACCTGTCACGAAAGGCATGTCATGGCCATCGCAAAGCAGAGTGAGTAGACAGACGAAGAAACGAGTTGAGCCGGGTGATTGTGAGCCGTCGTCACCCTGCCTGTTGCGCAGTTGGACTGATGCCAAGATTCTCCGGGGACGAACGTTGATGCTTCTGGTGGTGTCAACTCTGCAACGGAGGCCAACGATATCTTCATTCTGTCGAAACGACTCGCGAAGCAGCTAAACTGCAACAAGGCTTTTTCATGTTGACTGGCAGCCCCATTACATGTCCAACTTGTAGGTCCACTGATGCAGTATGTGGCACACTTGATCATCTGTTGAGAAAAGTGCGCTTGGCACTTTGCACTCGTGGATTCATCAGGCTTGCATGTCATCAGCATGCTGCCAAGGCGTCACCTGTACCACTACCCCTGCAAGCAGCAATGAAACTATTCCATCCGCCACGTGAGGATGTGATTTAGTGGTGTTTCAAAGTACGCACCGAAACAAAAGAGACATGACACATCGGGGCTGCTTGAGTACACGGAACATATTTTCGGTCTCTATAATTAACTCGGATTTTGGAATTTTTCATGGGTCATTCGCCAAATTGATTTCCCTTTAGATCTGGTAATTCAGGATTGATAACGGAATCGATATTTCTCAAATAATTATGAATATAATATATTCCCTAACGTTCCTGGATATACATCGTATTTGGCAGGTTCGCGTGTGTATGCATCATTTCTGAGGTGAACTATATTATCCCCATAAAAGGCTACGGGCTCGACCCTATTTTCGCTCTGCGGCCGCCCTGTCGGTTGCCCCGCCTCCTCTTCCGGTCAATTTGGCTGCTTGTGAGGGCCTTGCAGGGGGATCCGGAAAGTTCCGGGAATTTTCAAGCATATTGTCTAAAAATCCTAGGAATTTGGGGAATCACCCGAATCTGAAAATTCCCGGAACTTTCGGAATCACCCGGATTGAGGTTTAGGCTTTCCGGGTTGGATTTAAGGTTCCAGCGCAACAGTGATGACGTGGGTGCCCCTTCACCTTCAAGGAAATCTTCAAGGAAATCTCTTGGTCCAGGGTAGTTCCGATGACGGTCGCCGCCCGCCAGCTGTTCAAGGGGGTTCGGCCCCACCACCACATATCAGCAACAGCTCTCGAAAAATCCTAGGAATTCAAAATTCCGGGAATTTTCGGGATCCCCCGGGTTCAGGTTTTTACGCTTTATGGTGTAGGGTTTTGGGTTTTAATAGAAATTGTATAGGGTTTGTGTCCGGAGTTTTGTCGTGTTTTGGGGGGTTTTGTTTTTTGTTTTTGCTGTAATGGTTTGGGTTCTGTCGGGTGTGGTGGGGGGTGGGTGGTTTTGGGGTGCTGAGGGGTTGGGGCTGAAAGGCTGGGGTTTTGGGGGGGTTTTCCCGAATGTTCGTGGTGGTGGTCCCGTGGTGGTGGTCCGTGGTCCCCTGGTGGATCGTCGTGGTGGT